ATAAATGTTCCATTACAGACTGTGATGATGCTATGCAGAAGAGATACAGGGGCTTAGAGTGTTAAAAACATAATAATGGTGACTAGACTCCAGCCTGGAAGCCAGGCTTTCCTAAAAAGAAATATTTGAGTTGAGATTTCAAGCATGAGTAGACACCAGCTGGGCAGAGTTGGGAGGGAAGAGGGGAAATTATGTGCAAAGGCCCTGTGGCTGGAGGGAGAATGAAGCGATGGAGAAAGTGGAAGAGGGGCAGTGTGGCTGCAGCAGAGAACATGGAGAGGCACAGACCAGCCCTAGGCTTTTCCTAAGAGCAGTGGAAAACCCTGAAGGGATATGAGTTGCTTTGAGGTGAGTGTGTGTATGTTGGGTGGAGAGTTGATGGTGGATTAAACAGATGTTGCCTCAAGATCACTCTGACTGCTGCAAGAAGAGATTTCACGGGCAAGAGAGGAAGCTAGAAGGTGAACAAGGAGGCTGTTGCAGGAATGTTGGTGACTGATGCTGAGGCTCGGACCAGGCTAGTGGCCAAGACAGAGCTGGAGAGAAGTAAATGGGAGCATCTGAGGCACGGAGCCAGCAGGACTGGAGACCTGGAGTGGGACGGTGTTTGTTGAATGAGTGACTGACGAACAGGTTTGATTCCCGAGTTCCCGGTTCTAAAAGTGAGGATATTGACCTTGGAATAAGACACACATGGGGCCCAGGGGAAAGGACCCCCGGGCTCTCTCCTCAATGGGTGTCCAAGGGGCTGGCTCCTGACTCAGAACACAGACAGGTCCTCAACCTCAAACCCAGACCCTCTAAGGTTCAGTCTCAAACCCAGACCCAACTAAATGTCAACAAAGCAATTCCAGATGCCCTGCGTCTGGGTTTCCTCATCTCTCAGTAAGAGTAATGAGAACCACTGTCTCATGGAGACGTTAGAATGAAATGAGAGGACGTGTGTAAAGCACCCACCGGGCTCTGCCTGACCTCTGCATTGCTGGGGCTTGTAGAGACCCCTGCCCCCTCCCACATAGGGGTGAGCCTGGACGTTTAGGAAGTTCCCAAGGTGATTCAGGGAGGCCACAGTAGTTGGTACCAGGTAATTATTTTCTTTCTCTCTTCTCAGAGGTTCTTACCCATTTCTGAGCCATGGCTGCCTTTGGCTGTCTGGTGAAGACTGTGGGCCCTTCTCAGAAGATTGCTTTGAATTGCACAGAACCAAATGCAAAGGGTTGTGGAGGAAAGCAATTATTTTTAAATCCAGTTATGAAAGTATGAAAAGATACAGTGCAATTCAGAAATATAGGTACTTCTTCATGAATGCATTGAATCAGATCTAGTGTTGGTGTAATTGCTACCATAATTTCCAAATAGTGATGGATGTAAACACTGTTTGGAGGTACAGTTTGCGGTAACTAGGACGACTGAGCTAATAGCCACAGTCAAAAACCTGTGACAAAATCACCAACAGTACCATGAACAGTTGTATGGTTTTGCTGCGTATGTTCATAACCTTAGTTAGATGTTAGCAGAAAAGTGAAATTATTTCCCCTCAGACTCCTCGGATTTTTGGAATTCCACACCCCAGTGAAGAGTCTCATGAACCAGGAAGGCAGGTCAACAAGTTATGCTACAGCTGGACAGACTCCCCAGGAAGGTGGGGACAGGACACAGGGCCAAGGAAGGCTCCTGATGGAATTGCGAAACCAGTTTTGTGTTTTGATCCAGACACAGATAGACAGACATGGAGAGGGACACAGAGAAGTCGTAATGGGGTAAGAAAGCCATAGATTGAACACACTGGAGCTCACAGGAGCAGGTTTGACTATTAGTAGTTCCCTTTGGAGTGTGGAAATGGGGTCTCAGAATTGAAGGAACTTGCCCTGGCTGGTTTGGCTCAGCAGTTAGAGCATCAGCCTGCAGACCAAAGAGTCTCGGGTTCGATTCCAGCCAAGGGCACGGTTGCAGTTCAGTCCCTGGCCCTGGTCAGGGTCGTGTGGGAGGCAACCAGTCAATGTGTCCCTCTCACATCGGATGTTTCTCTCTCTCTCTCCCTCCCACACTATCTGAAGATAAATGGAAAAAATATCCTCGGGTGAGGATTTAAAAAAATAAAAATAAAAGTGAAGTAACTTGCCCAGAGCGAGGCAACAGGAAGTGGCAGGCCCCACATAGATGGCTCTGTCTGGATTCAGAGCCCCGTAAACCCCAGTGGACATAGTGAGCCTGAAACTAAGGGACACCCCTCAAATGCAAGGGATTGAGCACAGGGTGGAAGGTAAAAGCTGAGGCTCAGCCCTGGCCGGTTTTGCTCAGTGGTTAGAGCGTCAGCCTGCGGTTCAGAGAGACCTGGGTTCGGTTCCCGCTAAGGGCGTGTACCTCGGTTGCAGTTTGTCCCCGGCCCTGGTTGGTCGTGCGGGTGGCAGCCACTCGATGTGTCCCTTTCACATCGATGTTTCTCTCTCTCTCTCTCTTTCTTTTCCTCTCTCTCCCTCCCACTCTAGCTGAACAAAAAATGGAAAAATGTCCTCAGGTGAGGATAAAAAAAAAAAAGCGGAGGCTCAAAAACCAGATGGCCTGGCTTCTCCACTTATTTGTGTAACTTCAAGACATTTACTTATGTATTTGCGCGTTTGTTTGTTGTCTGTGAAATGGGAACAATGGTCATGACCTCACAGAGCAACTATAAGTGATTAAAAAAACATCTGAAATCCTGGCTGGTGTAGCTCAGTGGTTGAGTGTTGACCCATGCACCAAGAAGTCACTGGTTCGATTCCTGGTCGGGGCACATGCCCAGGTTGTGGGCCCAATCCCCAGTGGGGGGCATGCAGGAGGCGGCCAATCAATGTTCTCTCTCATTGTTGTTTCTCTCTCTCTCTCCTTCTTCCTTCCTCTCTCTCTAAAATCAATAAAGAAAAAAATTAAATTAAAAAAAAACATCTGAAGTACGGCGCAGAGAGCACCATGCTTGGCACAAAGTAGTCCTCAGGGTCCTCTGCTGTCGTGATTAGCAGAGCTTTCTTCTAGGTTCAGCAGAGTGATGGTCCACCCAGCGCCCCTCCTGGAGGGTCACCAGGGTCCAGAGAGGCTGGCCTGCCCTTAGCCCCAGGGCAGGATGAGTAACTGGCCAGGGCGATCTTTGCAGGTGCAAAAGTGGTTGAGGAAACAGCAGCTTCAGCAGAATCAGCTCCTGCTGGGGGAGGAGGGGGGGTGGGTCTCTGGTCAAGGGTCAAGGTAGCCCCACCCCTGGAGCCCAGGAGTTCAGGTCTGGGGTGAGGAGAGGTGGTGGATGTTTACTAGAAAGAAAGTGAGCCTGGCATCAGACAGACTTGACTCTCCGGCAGTGCGGTGCGCGGTACCACTCCGGGAGCACCAGTTATGTGGACGATGGGGAGAACTCTCAGAGTTATGGGATCCGGACACCTTCCTGGGTCCCATGCTGCCGCTGCCACCCCCTGGTTCTGGAGCCTTGGGCAAGCCACTTACCCTCCCAAGCTCACCTCTAACGGGAGCACCACACCCACCTTAATGGCTGCTTGAGTTTATGTAACAACATAAAAACAACCAGGTCCTGTCCTGGCCCATGTTGCTCAGTGGTTAGAGTGTCGGCCCGCACAGTGAAGGGTTTCGGGTTTGATTCCTGGTCAAGGGCACATACCTGGGTTTCAGGCTCAATCCCTGCCCCAGTCAGGGTGTGTGTGGGAGGCAACCAATCGATGTGTCTCTCGCACATCAATGTTTCTTTCTTCCTTTCTTTCCCCCTCCCTCCCACTCTTCCACTCTCTAAAAATCAATGGAAAAAAAATATTCTTGGGTGAGGATTAGCAACAACAACAAAAAAACCAACAACCAGCTCCTAGAAATTGCTCCAAAACAGCAGCTTCTTCTTCCCCCAGGCCACCCCCAGGGACCCACCCCAAGCTTTGGGGTACTAAGGGCATGAGGTACTGCAGGGTGAGCCAGCCTGTAGCAGGCGGAGGAAACAAGAAGGGCAGGGCAATGGACACAGGAGGGAGAGGAAGGGCACTCTCGCCCCACTGTCCCAGCATGTAGCCCCTTCCTTTGGCAAACAGAGGATTGGCAGGTGCCCCTGAGGCTGGGATGTGGGCACTGTTCTCCACTCCCCACCCCCATCCCGGGCTTCTTTCTAGCTAAAGATTCCCCGCCTTCCCTGCCAGCCCTGCAGAGACTCTGTCAATGAGGATGGGCCTCTGACGTCAGGGGTTGACCGTCTGACTTCCATTTCTCTCCAGCCTGAGGTCCGGCCTCTCTAGATTCAGAGGCCTCGTCACAGAAGGGAGGGCCTCTGCTACCCAAAGACTCACAAGACTATAACTCAGGGTTTACCCCACAAGTCCCGGCACAAAGCAGGGATGCGGGAACCGTTCACATAGTCTATATATTATGAATAGCACCCCCTGGAGTTGTGCAATGCAGTGATCATGCCAGGATTGCTAGGAAGGAGACACTCCACCATTCCCCAAATGGGCAGGACCTAACTTTTCAATGATTAATTTATTCAGAAAAGATTTGCTCTGAGGCCTGCCGGGTCTTGAGCTCCAAATACCTAGATGCCACAGAACTGACTCCGTGCTCATGGAGCTGACCTAGCAGAGGGAACAAACACTAAGTCCTCATACAAATAATTACATTCTCACAGGCTCTGATAAAGCCAGGGGAAGCCAGGGCACCAGGCAGGGTCCACACTGACCAGGCCTCAGTCTGGCAGCCCCCATTTCATCCAGGGATCCTCACCTGGGCCCTCTGCAGTCCCCTTGGGCTGGGTGAGGCTTATTAGCCAACTCCAGACTCTCCAACCCTGTCCAAGGTCAAAGTGGTGAATGCCTTACTTTGTTTTTCGTTTCCATTTTGAAATGGGACCTTGGGTTCAAAAATCAGTGACTGTGGGTTTCATGGGTTACAAATGACCTGTGTTCTCCAGGGGCAGGAGGGTATGACTTTGGGATACAGGCCTGGCCCCTCCAAAAGCTCTGCTGCTCCCCGCCCCTCCACAGGAAGCCTACTGTGCCTACTCCATCATCGTCATGGCGCTCTTTTGGTGTTTCGAGGCTCTGCCCCTGGCTGTCACTGCCTTCCTGCCCCTCATCCTGTTCCCCATGATGGGCATAATGGATGCCTCTGAGGTAAGCCTCCCCTGCCACATGAGGAAGGCTCCCGAGGATGGGGGCGGTCTACTCTAGGGTGCTCATGAGCCAGGAAGCCTCATCATAGGCAGGGCACACAGAAGGGTCCCTGTCTCCGCTTGGCAGGTCAGAGAGCACCGAGGGAGGAGTCAGCCACAAGCAAAGGGGGAAGGACATTCTAAAAATGCCAAGTGCGTGGCTAGTGTCGAGAGTTCATTCAAAGTGGGAGTGATCAGGCTTAACCCAGGGAGGTGGAAAGGCCTGGAGACAGAGGAAAAGGGGCCTTAACGTCCAGCTAAAGACGTTCTTCTAGTTCGGTGGCTCTTAAACCTGACTGTCCTGAACTGAAGGGTTGGTTAGAACACAGAATGCTGGGCCCACTCCAGAGTCTCTGGTTCAGTAGATCTGGGGCAGGGCCTAAGCATTTCATTTCTAGCAAGTTCCAAGAACCACTGCTCTAGTTTCTAGAAACTAGAAATTAGCATCCCCCAGTCCACAGCTGTAACCACGAGTAGAATCAGGCTGGATTATGTCCCAGTCACTCCTGCGGGGGAGAACGAATGAGTTTGGCAGGAAGAGAGGAACCTGGTTAATATCAAATAATGCGTAATCCAAAGACCATTTCCATTTGGTTCCAAGAGCCCAGGGACCAACCTCTGCTTGTGGGAATATCAGTGCCTGTACCCCATAAACCCAAAGCACAATAGGAGACCCCTGCCTCTCGGCTGTCCCTGTCTACCAGGTCTGCATCGAGTACCTTAAGGACACCAATATCCTGTTCATCGGGGGGCTGCTGGTGGCCATCGCTGTTGAGCATTGGAATCTGCATAAACGCATAGCCCTCCGCGTGCTCCTCATCGTCGGGGTGCGGCCCGCGCTGTGAGTTCCCACAAACCAGGATGGGACAACCCAGTGTCGGTGGCATTCTGGGCATCCAATCCCTGAAGGGATGCTGGAACACCAGTATGTCTGTGTGTCCGTTCCTAGGCTAATGCTGGGCTTCATGGTGGTCACAGCCTTCCTGTCCATGTGGATCAGCAACACGGCCACCACGGCCATGATGGTGCCCATTGCACACGCCGTCCTGGAGCAGCTGCACAAGGCTCCCGCGGTCAAGGACATGGAGAACGGCAGTGACAACCCCACCTTCGAACTTCAGGAATCAAGTCCCCAGAAGGAAGCGGCCAAACTTGGTGAGAAAGAGGAGGCGGGACCCTGCTCCATTCCCAAGGGTGGTCATCTTGGATCCTTTACGGAAAGAGGGAGGCAAGAAGTGCTGTGGCCAACTTGTCCTGAGTTTCCTGGGATTTTCCTGGTTCTAAAACAGTTTCATGTGCTGGGAACCCCCTCAGTCCTGGGAAAACCAAGATGCTGGGTCACCCTGGCAAGCAGAGAGCTGGAGTCCAGGTGGGCCATCAGGGGTCCATGCTCCATTCTTCCTGTTTGGTTTGGATAATCCTGTGCCCTTTTCTATGCCTTGGTTTCCCTCTCTCAAGGGAGAGGTTGGGCCAGATGGTGTCTAAAGTCATCCTAACCTGAGACTCCAGGGAGTGCTGGGCCCTTGCAGGCCTGGAGGCAGCCTCTGCCCCCCCAAAGCCCAGATCAGGGCTGCTCGCTAGCAAGTATCCTGCCTACACTCCAGGGGCCATGGAGCTCCAACCTCCTTAGAACTGCACCCACTCCCCAACCTGAGCTCTCCCTTGTTCCCAGATAATGGGCAGGTCTACCCTGTCCCACCTGGCCCTTTGGAGTCAAGGGCACAGAGAAGTCAGGAACAGATCCGCTTTTCCCAGGGCATGAGCCTGTGCGTGTGCTACTCGGCCAGCATCGGGGGCATCGCCACACTGACTGGCACCACTCCCAACCTGGTGCTGCAAGGCCAGATCAACTCGTGAGTGACTGCGATGGGGTGTCTGCGCTCTCACTGCGGGGACGCGGGGCCTGGGGTTTACCAGGCAATGTCACACAGCAGCCTGCCTCCCTCTTCAGGCTCTTCCCTGAAAATGCCAACGTGGTGAATTTTGCCTCCTGGTTCAGTTTTGCCTTCCCCGCCATGATCATCTTGCTGTTGCTGGCCTGGCTGTGGCTACAGTTCCTTTTCCTGGGCTACAAGTAAGTGGTGGAGTGAGTGAGAGAGGCCCAGGTCCCTGGCCTTATCCCCTGGGAGCTTTCGGTTGGGTACCCAGATAGCCATTGTGAAAAATGATAAAATCACCATCCCAGTGAGCAGACCTCTCCCTCCCAAGGCCCCTCTGTGCACTTGGCCTTCCCCCCGCCCCCACCCCCATTTGAGGTCATTACTGGACCAAGAGTATTACTATCCCATTTAGCAGATAAGCAAACTGAGGCTTGAGAAATGGTACACAACTAGATTTGTCAGTGCTGGGACTGAAAACCAGGCCTGATGCCCAGGCCAAGTCCCATTCTGCAACACTCCACAGTCCTTTGGTAAGTGCTAAAGGAGAACACACTGAGCATGGTCATACAAAAGCCTGGCCCTGTGCTAGGCACTGAAAACACTAAAAGGCATTAGGCACAGTCCCTGTCCTTGGAGCTCACCATCTGATGGGTGATGGCATAGTGCGGCCATGACACAGGGAAGCGCAGGTGCTGTGGAGCACAGCCCAGGAGAATGGGAGTTCGAGAGACTCTTGGAGGAAATGATGCCAGAATTGAATCTTATAAAACTAGAAGTCAGCCCAGCTGGTGTGGCTCAGTGGTTGAGCATCGACCCAAGCACCAAGAGGTTGCCAGTTCGATTCCCGGTCAGGGCACATGCCCAGGTTGTGGGCCAAATCCTCAGTGGGGAGCATGCAGGAGGCAGCCAATCGATGTTCTCTCTCATCGATGTTTCTATCTCTCTCTCCTTCTCCCTTTCTCTCTCTGAAATCAATAAAGAAAAAAATTTTTTTGCCCTGGCCGGTTTGGCTCAGCGGTTGGAGCGTCGGCCTGCGGTACAGAGAGACCGGGGTTCGGTTCCCGCTAAGGGCACGTACCTCGGTTGCAGTTTGTCCCCGGCCCTGGTTGGTCGTGCGGGTGGCAGCCACTCAATGTGTCCCTTCATGTCGATGTTTCTCTCTCTCTCTCCCTCCCGCTCTATCTGAACAAAAAAATAAATAAAATAAAATAAAGAAAAAATTTTTTTAAAAACTAGAAGTCAGCGAGGTGGAGACTGGGGTAAAGCATTCCAGGCAGTGGGAACACCTTGTACCAGTGCACAGAGGCAAGAAAGAACACGGTGTGTTTGGGAGAACTCTAGTTCTGCGCGGTTGCAACATAAAGAAAAGGAGATTAGGAGATGAAGTTAGAGAATAGGCAGGAAAAGGATTTGGGACGATTTGGGGTGCCATATAAACAGTTAGGACCTTGTCTTTGAGACTGGGTAGTAAATAGTTTTTATTCTTACTAACAACCCTTGATTATCTGCAGTCACTAGAGTTTTGAGTTGAAAATCATGTGAGACCTTGCTAGGGCTCAGCAGGAATAGAGTCTGGGGTCGATCAGTCATGTCTGCTACAGGATAAGAGTGGTGATAGGAGTGGGATTATGGTACGAGTTATTTGCCCTTCCTGCCCAGGCAGCGGGGAGCCACTGGAATTTTTTAAGCATCATTGCTGTACTTTGGAAAAATCACGTGGGCAGGTGTGAGGAGAATGGATTGAGGTTGGGTACAAGCTGGTAGTCAAAGAGACCAGCACAGTGCCAGGCACCATGGGGGTTCAAAGATATGTGAAGCATGGTCTTTGCCCTTGAGGAACTTGCCATCCAACAGGGGAGTTGTGATTTGCCCAAGTGAAAAGTGAAAAGTCAACATGAGTTAAGTAAGCAGCATACAGAAATGGGTTAAAGCCTTTTGTGCCTCTGGGGACAATCAGGGTGGGGCTCAGGCTGGCAGAGGATGCCCAGAAACCGGTAGGAGAGGAAGGGGAGGATTTCCTAAAAAGCTGTTGGAGGGGAGCAGTGAGTCAGAGCCAGAAGGAGGCATGGGGTTCAGGCCTATGGGTCCTCCTCATTCTGGGCAACAGAGGGTTTGACTCAAGAGAACCGTTGGAGGGACAGGGGTCAGTGGGGCAGATGAAGCAGGGCCAGGATGGGGAGACTGGCCCCCAGCCCCAACCTTGTCTCTGCCTCGTGTGCCCCTTCCCAAGTCTTCTGCTCTTCTTCCAGAAACTTGGCTGGATCCAGGGCCTTAGTGTGACAGTTCTGAGATGGCCTCTGCAGGCCACAATCTTTACATCACAGGAACTCAGAGGCGCTTGTTCCCCTGCCTGGTGCGAGACCCTCACGAGCGGCCCCTGCCCCTCTACCTGCAGCCTCCGGAAGAACTTTGGCATCGGGGGACAGGCACGCGATCAAGAGCAGGCGGCCTTCCAAGTCATCCAAAAAGAGCACAAGCAGCTGGGCCCCATGACCTTTGCAGAAACGGCTGTCACCATCCTCTTTGTCCTCCTGGTGCTGCTCTGGTTCACCCGAGAGCCAGGCTTTTTCACCGGCTGGGGCAGCCTGGCTTTTCCCCAGCCCAATGGGGCAAGGTAAGCATCATGGGGAGAGGGAATACCTCAGGGGCTCACCTAGCTAAAGAAGAGGGAAGGGAGAGGGCTCCAAGAGCAGAACAGAAGGTAACACGAGGGCGAGGGCGGGGAGGGGACACTTGTCAGAAGGGGTTGGCCCATCCGTGGGAGGGCCTCCTCTCCACCGCCACCTCCTCCCGGCATCCCTGCATCCTTGAGCAGCCCTGAACCACTAAGCCTGCCCTCCCTGCCCCGCCCGTAGCTTGGTGTCCGACGGGACAGTGGCTATCTTCATCAGCATCATTATGTTCATGGTGCCCTCCAAGATCCCAGGGCTGACTCGAGATCCAGGTAAGCACCTGGACCGGGGCAGGAAAGGGCCTCTGGGCAGCCCCTGCCTTCTGGCATAAAATGTGCTTTAGTTCATATTTGGCAGAACGAGACAAAGCCCTGAGAGGTTAGTGTGACTTACTAAGGACACAGGGACAAAGTTGGCATGTTGCAGAACTGGGGTCCCCCTCCCGCAAACATTAAGCTCTGATAGGGACCCATACAGAAGCCCCCAAGTGGGAGGGAGGGAAGGCCTGTTGACTCTTGCTGACCCATCCTCTTCTGCCTGGGGAGCAGAAAACCCGGGGAAGCTGCAGGCCCCTCCTGCCCTCCTCAACTGGAAGACAGTGAATGAGAAAATGCCCTGGAATATCGTATTCCTGCTGGGTGGTGGCTTTGCCCTGGCCAAGGGCAGCGAGGTGAGCAACCCCTGCCCCCACCCCAGCCTGTCGGAGGAGACTCTGTGGCAGGGAAAGACTGGGCCTTGCTTCAGTGCCTCACAGGGGAGACTCCATCCCCACTTAGGAGCCCCCTGGTGGCAGAGCCTCTGCAGCTGCTGGAGCGAGGTTAGAGGGTCATCTGAGAGGGGGGGCAAGAAACACAGCCACAGGGATCTTTCCCCAGTTGGGTTCTCAAGTCAAAGGAGAGGCAGGTACCTCTGGTGGGCAGGGGCTGTTCGCTGGGATCCCCCTACCCCCTCCAGACAGAGAATGCAATGTCTTTAGGCCTGTGAGTAGCTGCCTTTGGGTTGACAGGGCTAGCCTGCTGCAGCCACCAGGGGGTGCTGTGATCACACCCAGCCAGGCTCTGGGGACAAGGGCATCATTCCCAGAGCCTCCATCCAAGAGGGAAATCCCTGAACCTGCAGCCCTGGACCTCAGTGTTCTCACTAAGCTCATTCACTGCACAGACAGAAGGCAGCTAGCTTCCCTGGGTCAGAAATTGGTGCTGGGGACTCCTAAATCCAAGGGTAGTTCACCCATCAAGCATTCACCAACTGTGCCAAGCTCTGCGCCGGGTGCTGGGTAGGCCGCATCGGGGCTCACAGTCTAGCATTACAGGCGTGGGCAGGACAAGACCTCGGAGCTCTTCTGACCTTGTGGGCTTTCCCTACCCTCCTGTCAGCCTCTTCCCGACCTCTGCCAGGACCAGTCCTGCTCTCCCCGCTCTGGGACTGCTGTGTGAGCCGCTGGGCTGGAGAGGGCAGAGCGAGGCCTAAGGTTGGCCAGAGACCTCCTAAGAGAGGTCGGGAGAAGTGTTTACTCCCACCAAGCCCCAGGTTTCCCAAGAAGGCCTGTTGACCCCCTTTCTTAGCTTCTCATTTGACCCTTCTCCCACACCCAACTGTTCCCCAAGAGCAGGAGAAGGAGCCCCTTGGTTGTAGCTGGGTCTTTCCTCCCAAGCAGCCCTTGATTTTGAAGAATCTGGAGAGGTGTGGACAGGAAGATGATGCTCCCGGAGCCTCAGCAGGGGGCTCTGGGCCCCAGGTAGCCCAGCCTCTCACACACCACCCTCTTCTGCCCACAGCAATCGGGCCTGTCTAAGTGGCTGGGGGAAAAGCTGACCCCACTGCAGTCTGTGTCAGCTCCTGCCATTGCCTTGATCCTCTGCCTCCTGGTCGCCACCTTCACTGAGTGCACCAGCAACGTGGCCACCACCACACTCTTCCTGCCTATCCTGGCCTCTATGGTGAGCTGGCCCTCAGACACACCTCCTCCAGGCAGCCCTCCTGCCCACCCCTTCTAGGCACCTCCTCTCATTTCTGGGAGAGAACATCTGAGCTTCCACCCTTTCAGGGCTCTCCAGCTACCTTGGGCCCCAGAGCCCTCTTGCCCCCTGACTCACCCCATCTCTAGTGACGTCACTCCTTGAGTATCTTGATGGAGCTCACTGGTGGCCTCATCCACACCCACCTCCCCAGCCCGGCCCCTGTCCTGGTCATTCCTGAGGTGATGGGGTAAAATTGCTGCCCGGAGCGTCCCCAGCCCCTTCCTCCCAGGCGCGTTCCTACGGCCTTTGATGATATCCCAATCCCCTTTGAGATCCGTTTTATGGGCCCCTCCTCTCACCACACCCCACAGGGCAGGGCCACACAGTCATTCCCTCCAGAGAGGTCAAGGGGCCCTTCCCAGGTCATCCAGTACCTCTGGCAAAAGTGGTGGGTTCATGCCCAGAGTATGTGCTGGGGGTGGGGAGTGGTCCCTGAAAGAGGGGCAGCAGGAGAAATGGAGGCCACACCTTTCTCCCTGGAATGGGACTGCCACCAACTCTGCCCCACTGTCTCCCCCTCCAGGCTCAGGCCATCTGCCTCCACCCTCTCTACATCATGCTCCCTTGCACCCTGGCCGCCTCCCTGGCCTTCATGCTGCCTGTGGCCACCCCGCCCAATGCCATCGTCTTCTCTTTCGGAGGTCTCAAAGTGTCTGATATGGTGAGTGGCAGGGGCCCTGAACACCTCAGCCCTCCTTCCTGCTCTGTCTTCCCATCCTGGTGGACTACAAAGTGGCATAAAGCCCCTGAGATTCTCAGACTTGAGCGGACACGGGGTGGGGAACGGCAGAGAGGTTGGGATACAACCCCCAGTTAGAGCATCATTAGGCCCTGCCAGGCCCAAGCCATGTGAGAGGAAGACAAAGGGGTGAGGAATTTAGGGAAGGTTCCAAGGTGCCGGGCAGCCACACCCAGGGAAATGGACTCGGAGAGAACAAGGCCCAGAGTCCTGGGAGCTCATGAGGAGCTTCCCTTTCCCCTGTCAACCCTGGGAGTAAAGCAAGAAGCGTGCTGTAGGTTCGATGCAAGGGAGGACTTCCCAAGGGAGAGTTTTGCTAGTGAGAGCTCCTGGGCACCTTTGGACACCAAAGGGATGGGTGCTGGCCCAGCTCAGCAGCTGCTCACTCACACGGACTGTCTGTACACCAGGCCCGGACGGGATTCCTGCTCAACATCCTGGGCGTGCTGGTCATCATGCTGGCCATCAACAGCTGGAGCTTCCCCATCTTCAAACTGCACACCTTCCCCTCCTGGGCCTACTCCAAAAACACAACCCACTGCATGGGCAGCCAGGCGAACGCCACCACGCCGAGCCCCTAGACCAGGGTATAATTGGCCAAGACCAGGAAGACCCAAGCCGTTCCTATTTCTCTGAGTCGGGAAGAGACACCCAGGCTCCAAGCCAAACAAGGAGAGAAAGGCACATGTGTACATAATCTCGAGTGTGTCTGTAAGTAAGGTGTGTGCGCTCTCAATCCTGTGTGTCTAAAGAAAATGTGTATATAGTATGTTCATGTCTGTGTGAGCATGGTATGTCGTGTGAGGATGTCTGGGGGGGGGAGGGGTTTGTGTCTGCACATGATCCTAGGTGTGTGTGCTTAACAGTGCATGTGTGTGAATTCACAGATAATATGACATGCCATCTCTGGCACTCCAGGTCTTGATCTCCACAGCTTGGTGGGTGACCAGACCCCTTTACATTGTATTTATTGAAACTTGAGGTTGGGATGGCCTGCCGAGCAGGACCTACCAGTGGTTGCCATGGCAACAGCCTCCGGGGACCAGCCCACATACTGAGCTTGCCCCAGCCTCTTTGTGGGGAAAGGGCTCGAATACTAGCCACATTAAAGTCTTTTTCAGTAGAGCCTGGGATGGTTTTTCATGGCGCTTTCCAAGGCTGGTCCCACACATGGTTTAGAGCCTAGGTTGGGGATTATGGTAGAAAGAGACCTGGCCTGTATCCTGTATGGCAGCCCCCTGGGCACCCCTCCCACTCAAGGGAGAAAGTAATGGCCAGGAACCCCTGCCAAGGCCAGTCGGAGTGGGCGCAGCCACCCAGGAAAGCGGCACTGACATCACCCGGCCTGGCTAATTGGGAGCTGCCAGTCTCTGCGTGTCTTTGGGAAAACCAGCCTCCCGGTTCCCAGAGCACTCCCTGGGTATTTACATAAAACCCTCTGCCCCTGCCAATTCCTCACCGACCCTTCCTCCAGCCAGAAAAACCAGTCCCACCAGACCAGGGCAGGCAGGCTGACCCATGCTGAGTGCCCTCTAAGATGGACCCTCACCCAGAATGGCAGCCGGCAGCAAGGGTGCAGGTGGACTCACAGGAACAGGTTTACAACCCGCAAGGCCTTCAGAGCTCCAGACCCGACAACACTCTGGGTCACTCTGCCTCCCCACCCAGCCTCCATCCCCCCTCTGCCTCCATCCCCCCTCTGCCTCCCTGCCTCCATCCCCCCTCTGCCTCCATCCCTCCTCTGCCTCCATCCCTCCTCTGCCTCCATCCCCCCTCTGCCTCCATCCCCCCTCTGCCTCCATCCCTCCTCTGCCTCCCACCTCGCCTCCATCCCCCCTCTGCCTCCATCCCTCCTCTGCCTCCATCCCCCCTCTGCGTCCATCCCCCCTCTGCCTCCATCCCTCCTCTGCCTCCCTGCCTCCATCCCCCCTGCCTCCCTGCTTTCATCCCCCCTCTGCCTCCCTGCCTCCATCCCCCCCTGCCTCCCTGCTTTCATACCCCCTCTGCCTCCCACCTCGCCTCCATCCCCCCTCTGCCTCCCTGCCTCCATCCCCCCTCTGCCTCCCCATCTCCAAGAATTCTGAGTTTTGTCTGTCTGGCGAGGAGAGATGGGGGTGGGGAGGGTGATACCACACCCATCATCCACTCTGGAGGTCAACCTCCCTGCCTGGCTGGAAGTTTATCTTTGTATCCATTCTAAGTCTCTCATGGTGGACAGTGGCATGTAAGCCTTGAGTTTATCTAAATGGACGTTTCCAAGAGTCTCATCCACGTCCTTCCTGTTGCAGTGGAGAAGAAAAGATATTTACTGTCACTCTCGTGCCCAGTGAAAAAGAGGCCTGCACTGTGGAGAGAGAAAACCAGGAAGGATTTCATTCTGGATTCCCCTGGTCTGGGCCTTCATTCAGTACTCCTAGAGCTGGGGGTTCGAGGGTGGCGGGCAGGTGCAGATGGGAGGGGGCTGCTGCGTGAGGGAGAACATGGCTGTCCCCAGGGGAAAGAGATCCTGACAGGACATGCCAGACATCCAGCACAGTGAGGAGTGTCAGGCGAGTGGCTCCACCCCCACCCCAGCCCCCCAGGCTGGCATTCCTCATTTATGAAGCTCATCATAAATCACGGCTCCCACCCAGCCCCACACTGAGACCCCCACAAGGCCCCAGGCAAAGCCCCTCCACCATTGGGAATGGGCCGGAGCCAGAACGGTGGGACTTTTCCAGTGGCTTACACACAACCCCATCCGCAAAAAGGACTCTTCCCTACCACTTCCTTCTAGTAGACCCTGGTTGGGTACTCTAGCCGAGCCCTGGCTGGGGAAGAGGTGGGTGTGCTTCTCAGGGACACATGTCTGTCCACTGCTATCAGCTTCCCTTCATACCGCCCCCCCCCCCCATTTCTCCCTCAGTCCTGCTCAGAGAGGGCCAGATGTGGACTAAGGTCACACAGCAGTCCCAGGAGATACAGACTGGGCTGGCCCTGCCTTTTCCGAAGAGGAAGTAGACAAAAGCTGGTCTGGGGGTTGAGGGGTCAGCCGTGGTGGGTGCCCTGGCAGAGCTTGGGGGCCAGGCCTCCCCGGGTGCTCAGAAACCATCCTCCTCAGCAGGCGGGAGGGCAGACAGGAGGCAGGCGGCACCTGTCAACCTAATCATCGTCATTAGCTGGGCAATAAAGCAGCACGGACCCGGCCAGCCTTTGAAGGAAGGGCCTGTCAGCCCAGGTCAGGTTTGTGCAAGCAGCCCAGCAGCTCGGCCTCCTGCACACAGTACTCTGGGCTCTGGCAGGTGGATGGGGCAGTGCTGGGACCGGGGTCTGCGTCCTCCCTGCCTGGGCACCCGCATCCCTTCACTCACGGCTTCCAGAAAAGCATCGAGGTGCTTTGGGTGTCTCCTACCAGCTGAATTTGTGCAGTGCTGGGACTCAAGAACTGCATGGTAGTGAGCTCCTCGTTACTGGGGGAGATCAATGAGGCCAGAAACAACCTGAGGACAGTCTGCCTGATGCAGCTGTGTCCTCGGTTCCTAGCATGGGGCCTGGCACAGTGGCTATTGTGTGAATGAATGAATGTATCAGAAGCATAGGGGGCTTCTTGCTCCTGGAGGAAAGTTGGACATGCTGCCCTCCGAGCCCTTTTCCAGACGGCAATGTGTGGAGCACCATGTGGCCTGGAGACAAGGTCTTGGCCTCTGTGGGCCGGTGTCATCTTAGGCTCAGCATAGGTCCAGATTTCTGAGCCAACTCCTACTGTTTTCCCCTGGCCCTGGCCCCTGGGGCCTTGGGAGTGGCCCTGCTTGCCTCACCCTTCTGCTGGCCAGCACCAGCCCCAGAGGCAACTGTGGCAGCCGGAGTGCCCAGGGAAAGGGTATCAAGCCGAGTTTTTCAAGGAGAAACCTGGCAGGTAGAAGGGGGCACGTGTTATGAGATGGAGAAGGTGGGAACAAAGCTACTGTTCCCATTCTCTGGGTTCACTTTGGGTTGGGCTTAGGTGAAGGGAAGCTCTAGGGGTTACGACCCCAGAGTAAGCCCCTTGGGGACTCCCTGTCTCCCCGAAGTCTCAGAGGGAAGCTGCTTCCTGAGGAGGGAGGGTGAGCTGTGCAGGCAGGAGGGTGGTGCAGCCAGGGGATTCAGGGTGTGGGGTGGGGTAGGAATGGGATGGGTGAGGTTCTGAGGGGGCCAGCCTGAGGAGGGTGACCCCCTACAGCCTCCATCCAGTCTGGGCCCCATTAGTCATGATCAGCAGAGCCATGAAATTTTACTGAGACAGGGAGTCTGAGGGTCTCCAAAAGGGTGATCCCTCAACCTCAGGGAGGGGAGCGGAGAGAGGGGGTGACATGGGGGTTGGGGGAAGGGAATAGAGCAGCCTGACTGGAAAGATTGTGACAGGGAAAAGTTGTTCTTAAGGGTGGGAGACCCACAGGCATGTATATACAGATCTATGGATTCTTGGGTACACACAGAACACCTCACAGACACAAGCACAGATGTGGATACCTGCATACACAGTTACACACACACACACACACATACACAGGAGACACATGTTCTGGCATGGACATGCTGAGCATCACATAATAGTTCCACAACTTAACTGCACACCCGTGGTGGCACGTGTAAGCATGAGCACAGACATGTAAATACACACACATTCACGCACAGTGAACATACATACACACACAGGGTTTGCTCCTCCCACCTCCACAACTGTGCCTCCTAGTAGCAGGAACGATTAAGACAAGACAGGAGAAGCCTGCCCTCCCCACCCAGCAGGACTCTAGCTGTGTCCCTCCCCACTGGACCCCCCCACCAAGCTCTGGGCTTGGAAACTCCCTGGATTTCCCAGACGGTCAGCCAACCAGAACAGGCTCAGACCTCCCAACCCAGCACCCCTGCCACACACCCTCCACAGCTCTGGCCAGCACGCCTCCATCATCCACGGCCAAGGAACTGCCTGGTCTTCCCCCAGAAGCCCATCCTGATTAATCCCAGACCTTTATGTGGGGTTCTCACACCTCAGGGCCTCCTGGCAGCTCTGCTTGGGCCCAGACGCCCCACAGATGCCCCTAAGTGTCCTCCATGCCAATGGAGTGAGATGGAAGGCCCGGGAAGTAGCAGGCCCAGTCTTGGAAACCCACTTAGGGAAGCCAAGGCCTGTTCATACTGAGCAGAAGTGGACAGAAGATGGCCAGCCCTAATGTGGGATACAGGGAGGGGGCCCTCCACCAGCCCAGTGGGGCTCTCAAGGGTGGGAACATGCTCTTCCTTCTCCCTGGAGTCACCAGAGTCTTGCCTCAGACTGGAGCATGGCAGGCATTGGCCCCATGGATTTCCATCCCTAGTCAAGGCTGCCCCGGCTCAAAGCAGCCCAGCCCTGGGCAGAGCTCAGCAGCAGACAGTGAACCAGTTCTGACTTTCAGGTTCCGAAAGACAGCACTTCCCTTGGCCCCAGTCTGTTTAACCCCAGAGACAGCCCATCCAGGCCAGAGCCCAGCTCAGCTACAGCTGCAGACCCTGAAATTCGGGTGCTGGAATACATGGGACCAAACCTGCAGATAGAAGCCCTTTCCCAGGAAAGCAGAGCCAATAC